GTGTGCTCACTGGAGGCTAATGATTTGCCTACTCACGGCAAACTCGAGGCGTCGCCCTTGTTCGTGGACGGGTTAGCTTTCCATTTTACTGCTGTTGGCGGGGGGAAGATTCTCATCCTGAGAGGGAGGTCGTCGTGGGAGCATTAAAGAAACACAACGGAAATCTGAATCGTGTCGACGCCGTCTCTGTGTCAAGTTACTTAAAAACTTTTCTGCCACTAGGCGTGCAACTTTCAAACTATTTTATAGTGATACTTTTTCCCCTTCCTTGATTTTGAGAAGGAGTTCACAGGTAGTAGGATAATTAGACGAAATGGGAAGAAGCAAAAATAAGAAAGAGCATGAAAGGGAAATGAAGTTTTAGGCAAAACTCAGCGAGAGTTACAGGCCAACTCAAATTTACGGCTCGAACTTTCACCGTTTTCGCTGGGGTTGGCGCAGGGGGAAGGGTCAGGGCTCGCCCTGCCATCTCTGACCCCTGACTGTGAGTGTTCGTGCCCCTCAGTGCTCTTGGACGTCCTGGTTTTTTTCCTGCTTGTTGACTCCGCAGCTCAGATTGTGATCACGTCACAGGAGCGTTTTTCTCCCTTCTTCTCGTTTCTTCCTCAGTGCGGTAATTTTCAATTCTTTTTGTTTGCTCATCGGCGGGACCCATGATCACAGGAAATGGTACTGGGCCTGTGCTATGTATGTCACATACACGAGGCCTGAGCTGCTCTGAGGAGACGGAGGGCCGACCTCTGCCCCGTGCCCCCCTCGGTGCTTCCGAAGGCTTTTTGTGAAACCTGGGCCTCAGAAGAGCCCGCTGCAGCCTCACTGCCCAGCGGCTCAGCGCTTGCTCAGCTGGAATGGCTGCTTCAGGATTTCTGGCTCCCGATTGGTATTACGTGGAATGTCGAGTAGGTGTTGGATGATTTCTTTAAACTTGAAGACGAATTTAAAGAGGGCCTCGTTCTCCTCTGTGCCTTCAGGAGGCTTCGACTGAAAACATTCCAGACAGGTACCTGTCTCCTCATCTTTAAATCTGAAGTTGTTACATAATTCCGTATTATTTTCTTACGTCTTTAAATTCTGCGTCTAGAAAAGCAACCCTGTCCTTTTTTTTTGGTTTAATTTTATCCATTTTATTTTGGCATACCTAGTCTTTATAGGCAAAGAACTTTTCCATTTTAAGCAAATAAAAACAGCCGACAGAATTATAGAGCAGGAAAAATTTTGTAGGTAAGTGTTAAAAGCGTGAATCGTACGTTTGGCCTTGTGCTGTCTGAGACTCCATGTGACTGCACTGGAAAGCATTGGTGGCAGAGGATAGAGGTGCTTGAGGGTGGGGAAGGCAACAGCACCCACGAGCAGCTGGAAAGCACCTAGGGGCGGGGTGGTGCTGGCCCGGGCTGGCGGTCCCCTCAGGAAACACGGGGAAGCCCTCGCGTCTGAGTCAGTCTGAGTCACGGACGGTCACATGGGCCCAGTGCAGACCGCTTCGTGTGGGCATCCGGGGCCCGGACCTGGCTCTGCCCTCGTGACTCACTTCTGTGAGTCACGTCTGGTCCCCAAAGCCACGCCGTGGCCTCGCTGGCTTTCTCGGTGACTCCGATGGATGGAATGTAACAAGCGTTTCCCAGTTTCTAGAAGGCTCTCGGAAGAACCGCCCGCAGGCCTTCCTTCTCGTCGTGGCCGAGATTCCGAGGCTGCTTCTCTCCCTTCTATCCTTCTCCCGGTTTCCTGCAGTCTCGCTGACGGTTGTGTCTTCTCTTTAAGACAGACCTGTGTTGTCTCCTGTGTCCCTCACCTGGCCCCTGTTGTTAGCTTGTCATCTCCCAGCGGCTTCTTCATAGCCTTTCAATGGGATAAAGTGTTTTTTACGTGTTTTTAGAGGCATGTTTTATAAGACATCGTTTGTAGCACCGGCGTTCACAGAGGAGCTCCTTCAGAGCCCTCAGTCAGGCTCCTGGTCACCGACTCCCGTGGACCCTCTCCCGCCTGACCTCTCACGGGACTTCCTGAGGTTCGGGACATGCCCTTTCTCCCTTTCCCCTTGGGACGTTTCTCCCCTTCGGTTTCCATGCCGTCACCGCTTGGACTTTCTGCCTCTGGGAGGCTGCGTAGCGCAGCGGCTGACAGGCCCAGGCCCAGCTCTGCTCCCGGTTTGCTTGCTGCTTGTCCCCTGGGGGGGTTTGCCAGACCTTTCCAAGCCAGCCGGTGTGCTTCTTCACCTGTAAATGGAGTTTGGCCGAGGTCGAGGTGACCCACAGGAAGCTCGCCACGGCACTCAGCAGGTGTCAGCGCCTTCTGACTGCAGGTGACCGTCCCTCCTCCTCCGGCTCTTCCTTCCAGCCCGCTGACCCTGCCCGTCTGACCTCCCCGCCCCCCAGCTCCAGGCATCACCTGTGTGCTGGTGACGCCCCAGCCTGCCTCTCCCCGAGCTGTGGAGACGGGCCAGACCACCGGCCGCCCCCCACCCCTGCCCACGCAGGAAGGAACCTTCCAGACTGCTCCTCCACCCCGGCCGGTGCCCGTCTGTTCCTTTCCGAATCAGCCGCTCCTGACTCGTCTGACCTCGTCGTGTTAGTAGTTTTTAAGCGGTTGTCCCGTCTGCACTCCCGCACAGCGCGTCCTGTTGGCCCGCTGCCGCCGCGGTCACTTCCGGCCAGGTGTCCTCCGAGGGCTCCCCTGCCCGGCAGGATGGGGTCACGCTTCCCAGCGAGGCCTCCCAGCCCCTCCTCGCCCCCATACGTGACCTTCCCCGGTTCGCGCAGCCTGTCGGAGCTCCGGACTCGTCACCAGATCCTCCCAGTCCGGCCTGGTCCCCTGTGTGCCGAGGTCCCCTCCCACACTGCCCTGCCCCCCGAACGCGCCTGGCAACACCACGCGCGACGTTCCAGACGTTTGGGAGGAGTTTTTCTAACTTCTTTCCACTCTTCCCAACTCAGTCGCCCTGGAGAAACCTCTGTGCACTTCGCTATTCACTCGTCTGCCACCTTCTTTCGACTGTAGAGACCATGACGTTTTCCTACGGACCAGGACAGTACTTGGCACGTGGAAGGCATGAAATGGTTGTCAGGGCATCGAGTAAGCAGGCGAGCTGAGTCGTCTGTCCGCCTCAGTGCTCGGTGACAGACCCCGTGGTATTCACTCATCTTCACGATGCCGTCGCTGGTGTCTTCACACCCCCTCGAGGTGGCCCCACTGGACAGAGAGCAGTTGCTGTTTTGCCCGAGAAATGTAACGTCCCAGCGCGCACCAGTGCGGAAGGGCCGCCCCCTTGGACCTTAGCCACTTAACTCCGGGCGGTGTTTCTCTTCACTGTGTTGACCCCTTTCTGCCCCTTGGCCGCGACCCTCTGGGTCGGAGGGAACGAGGGCTGCCGTGTGGACGCTCGGGGCCGGGAGACACCCTGCTCCCCTCGGACTGTGTTCTTGGGGACTCACGGTCACACGGAAGATTTCCTAGGTCCTCTCACAGTGACTGCTGTTCAGAGAAGAACCTTTCTTCTTTCCTTGGGCAAGAGGAGAGACCCCCGTCGCAGAGAAAATTATCCTGACTCTTGTTAAAGTGGAGGGGAAGACGCAGTGGGGCTGTGACCGCCACAGCAGGGGAGAGGTGGGGTTCAAGGCCAAGTATAGCAACGGCAGCTGGGGATTTACAGTCAGCGAGCAGGGCGAGGGGGTCAGTGGGTGGCAAGTTACTAGGGGGAGACCTCAGGGGTGGGGGGACCCCTACTACACTGGCCTAATAGGATTCCTGCAAATGCAAGCCACACATTTACACATGGAGATGGGGGGCGAGGGACTCGAACGGATGTGCAGGGTTGGGGATTCTCCCTGAGCTCACTTAGGGGGTTCTTGGTGCAGCTGCAGTAGGCGGCCGAGGACCAGGCCTAGTCGTGAGGAGGGCTCAGGGGAGCCTGCCCGAAGCTTGGTCAGGGATAAGGTCTGTGTCTGCTGGGTCCGTAAATGCTGCTTTTCCTGGAAGCATAACCCAGTGCCACGGAAGAGAGACGGTCACCGTGCCGACCTTTGGGGCCGTGCCCTGTAGAAGTCCCCTGCGGTGATCCCTCGTCATCTTTAATTTGGTTGGCATTTTTTTATGTTATTGTTGGCACATGCAGCAGTTGGAGGCTGAGGTGGAAGAGACGTTTGTTTCCTCGTGGGCGGTGGCACTTCTGTGCACAGTAAAACACACCTGCTGTACACCGGCCGGGGCTTCTCGGCCTCCTCCCCCTCAGACCTGCTTGTTTCTTAGTTTTAGATGGAACTTCAAGAAGAGTTTCGAGGGACTTTGAAAACATTTCTTGGTAAAAGCAAATACCGGGAGCATCCCTTTATCGTAAGATAAATTTATGACTCAGTAAAGCCTTCTGCTGCTAAAGATCTAATGATATTACAAACATTTTTGGAGAGAAACATTAAAATATTTTGACGGCTAAGCACTAAACATGTGACAAAATAATGCATAGCAGGAAATTATAAAAAATGTCCAATGCTAAATTCAAAGATTTGTATTCTTCTGGCATGTGAATTATCAAATTATCTTTTCAGGCTTCGCCAGGTCACCTTAAAATCCCTAATGCGTGTTAAGAAACAGGCCTAGATGGAGCGTTTTGCAGGGAGAACATGGGCTGCGTGCCTGGCTGAGGCGTCAGGGCCCGTGAGGCGCAGTGTGCCCCGGGTCCAGGCGGTGGGACGCTTGGCTTCCCGCCAGGACGTGGCCCGGGAGGTGTGGATGGAGCGTCACCGGGGCGATGCCCGAGGGCAGAGGCCTGGGGCCCAGCCTCCCCGTCACCGGCATTGGGGCGGCCCCCGAGCTTGCACGCCGCGTTGGCCCTGCTGATCTGCTCTGTCACCGGGCCACTTCCCGTTGCGAATGGGGTCGCGTAGCTCATCGGGTGGGAGCTTCGTGGACAGGCCGGACGTGGCAGAGAGCAGTGGCGCTGGCTGTGTGCTGAGGTCGTCGTGTGAGTCACGTCGTGAATGATGCCCCCCCATTGTTTCCCGCCTCAGGTTCTCAAGGGCACTGTGACTGACTTCCCCGGATTCGATGAGCGGGCCGATGCGGAAACTCTCCGGAAGGCCATGAAAGGCCTGGGTAAATTCAGCCTCCTTTGTGTTCTGGAAAAAAAAACGCGACCTCTGTTTTTCCAATCAAAAAGTCATTGATTTACAGTAAGGTAGATTTTAGACTATTTTGATCGGAAGTATACAGAAAGAGAAAGAAGTACGTTAAGATACCAAAATAACGTGACCGGCCGTCCCGGGCGCTCCGTGTCCAGAGTGAGCAGGTGTTAATCCCGCCTCGCTGCTTTTCCGGCCTCGCCGTGTGGGGACCGGGGACCGGGGGCCGGGGCGTGGAGAAGCGACGTTCCCGCGGGCGCCCGCTCTGCAGCTCCCTGCTGTCTGTGCCGGCCAGATGTCCCCTCCTGCAGACCTGCCACTCTGCCTGTCTCCTTTTAGCCATTTAAAAGCCTCTCTTCCCAAGGACTTCCTCCTGTAACCACCCCGCCCTCGGGGACCCCTGCACCAGTGGCCACGTGTAGGACACGCGTCCCCGAAGCACCCAGCCCACCCCTGCCACTCCACTCCCGCCACGGTGCTGCCTGTGCCCTCTGACCCGGCCTGTGCCCTCTGACCTGTGCCCTCTGACCCGGCCTGTGCCCTCTGACCCGGCCTGTGCCCTCTGACCCTGCCAGGCCGGCTTGTCCGTTCTTCCTGAAAGCGGTTTTCTCCTCCTGCTGGAGTGTTCTCTCCCTCCGAACGCCTGTCCTCCTTGTCCCCACCTGTCAGAACCTTCCACCGGCGAGGCCGTGGCTCTGTGAAGCTTTTCCCCAAACTCCCCTGCAGCTCCTGTCCACTGAGGGAGCCTCCCGGGAACCCCGGGGGAGGCCTGGGCCTCTCCGGGAGCGCAGGTCGCTTTCTGCCTGAGCTCCCGGTTGTTTGTGCGTTTCTGTATTTTTCCCCCTAAATTGTCTGTAACTTGACAGCAGCGTCTCTAAGTTTCGCCTCTCTCAATTCCCTGTTAACACCCAACACGTTGTGCCTTGTGAATAGCCATTATCAGGAGTAACTATGAGTTGCAAGAAGCTGGAGGTGCACTAGGTTTTTCAAAAGTCAGGCTTATTTTCCCGCCTGCTGCACAGTGCGTCAGGAACAGGGGGAGTGCACGTCGCAAATATAACATTCCGTGTAGTGTAAATTTTATAGTTTAGTAAATTATTTAATACAGTGTATTTCACGAGGTTGAGGACTTAAGGTAACCGGGAAGTGGGGGGCGGTGGCTGTGGAGACGGAGGGCACGCAGGAGCCGGGACGTGACTCTGAACTTGAATTTCAGGCACGGACGAGGACAGCATCCTGACTCTGCTGACCTCGCGAAGCAACGCTCAGCGCCAGGAAATCGCCGCGGCTTTCAAGACGCTGTTCGGCAGGGTAAGACCGGACCTCAGCCCGGGGAGGCCGAGGGTGGCGTGCGTTTCAAGACCAGGTTGAACCCCAGTAAAACATCATTTATTTAATGGTTGTGACTTGCCCACTCCTTCTTTCGTTCCCAGTGTCTTAAGTGTCAGCTCACCCAGAGGCCGTGGAGGGCCCAGAGAGCCCCTCCTGTGCCTCCCACTCAAAAGGGCTTTCGTGTCTGCTATCTAGGTGTCGACCTGCGTCACTATACTTCTTTATGGCACAGCCACAGTCTCGGTCCCTTTTGGGGTTAGCGTTTTAATAAAGGAGCTTTTAATTCATTGACTTACGTGCTCTTATTTGATTAACAGTTCAAGGTAAAAATTAAATTTGTTACTAAAGGAATTAGTATGTACCGGAGAACTTAAATGTAGTTTTATTATTCTTAAATAAACAGAAACAAATGGCATAGCAAAAACAAAAAGAGAATGCTCTTGAAACACCATTTCTAGTTGTCCGTGTGCTGGGACTGAAACCCTAGGAAATACTGCTTTTCTTCCATAATTATGTGCATGACTTCTCCACGGCGACGTCGTCCCTCGGTCGTCAGGCGCTCAGAAATGAATGTGACCCATTGTGTCATAGCGTATTATTAGATATTGAAAGAAAAGGAAAAAATGTCTAAAGTCTGATAGGCCAGATTTTGTCTTTAGTAAAAACACATTTATGATTTTTTTCCAGTGGAATTTTTTTTTGAAGATAAACATCTTTCTCGGAACAGTGTTTTAAAAATAAAATATTTTTTTAGCCTGCTTTTAAATATTTATTTAAAAAAAAAAAACTCTTGAATTTAGGAAAAACATCTCTTGAAAACAAGTGGCTTTGCTTTGGTGTAAGCGTCAGGTGAGATGTCAGGAGTACATTATTCAAAGCTGCCTGGCGGGTGGGCAGAGGTCTGTTCCCCTCCGGTGCCTTTAACCTGGAGAATTCTCCAGGAATTCATCAGAGCGGGGGGCTGTCACTCATATTTAGGAAGGACATAGTTAACAAAGTTGTCTTCTCTGTGAATTAGGACCTTCTCGATGACCTGAAATCAGAACTGACCGGAAAATTTGAAAAACTGATCGTGGCTCTGATGAAACCGTCCTGGCTTTACGACGCCTACGAGCTGAAGCACGCACTTAAGGTAGAAAAGGGAGCGTGAGGGTGACCCTCTCACGAGTTGTTTATTCTGTGTGGCTAACACGTCGTCCTATTTTTGTACGTGAAAACTATTCGAATTATTTCAGTAAGGGTGTTTTGGAGGACAAAGCTGTGTGGGAGGCAATAAGAAGAAACGGAGGGAAGAAATTACAAGTGTGTCACATAATCTTTTTGTATCACAAGTCAAATCAATGATAGAGGCTATTTGAAATTTGAATGTTTTTTTTTTAACAGTCATTTATATTTTGTTTTCATGCCTGTTTTCCGATTTCGAGATATGTTTTGAAATGTTTCAGATTAGGCATTTTATCTTTTAAAACAAAAAATTGGCTGATAAGGGAATAATATTGTTAATCATTCCAGGTTAAAAAAGAAAGCTTCAGAGAGAATTTTCAGATAAGACAGATTTCCTTCTACCCTTTCTTCTTTCCTTTCCTTCTAAACACTAAAATGAAGTAGCTGGTAAACTTGTTATAATTTCGTTGTAGCAGATAACCGAATGTGGATTCCCGTGACTGGTGTTTGGAATATTGTATAAATTTGGGTGCATTGAAACATCGGTTCAGGCTTATGGGGCAGGAAACTGTTCAGTCATCATCGGTTAGATTTGGAAGGAATAAGGACACAGATTCGACAAGGAGATGATGTGGCTCAGGGATTCTCACGGACGAAGGGGAGGGAGGAGAAGGCTGATCAAGTTAGGGGACTTTGGGTGCTTGTCCTCTTCACTCTCCTGCAGTGATTCTTTGGGAATAAACAGAATCTTAGGTTATCGAAGAAAAGGGCGTTTTCGCAAAATGCTTCTCGAATGTTAGCGGGAGCAGAAATTCTGCCAGGGGATAAACCTATATTTTTCGGTGCTTGATTTTTTTTGGTAAGACACAGAAATATAAAGAAAATAAGGCTTGAATATACTATGTTTAAAAATTAAGTGCAGCTAGAGCATTGCTCATTATCTTCTTATTTATTAGTGTAGGTAGAGTTATAATCAAAAAAAAGAAAAACTGACCAAAATTATTTTTCAGAATTCCAGAAAGCACGTCCCAATTTCTTTTACTACTTCAATTCCTAATGACTAAGCAATACTATATTTTTTGTTGCCTCTTTCCCCCGTGGACCTGTAGAAAACTTAATTTGGGGGTAGGGGTTTATGTTTTGAGGTGTAGATTGTTTGTCAGTGCTTCTCCCTGTAAATCTATGTAAAGTTCACAGTTTCTCTATGTCAGCCCATTTTTTTTTTACTTAATAATGTTTTATTAAAATGTTTTACTTTGAAACCACTTAAACCGATATATTGCAAATTCGTATAACCTGTTACATATGTGTATACCCACATGTATGCACTAAACATTGGTTTTCATTAGACAAAAAGGGCTAAAACTGTCTGGAAAGAAAATTAATTTGAAATTTCTTAATTCTATAACTAATAGAACTTATATACTAAAGAAACGAATGGTATGTTGGATACTATTTATATCATTATGCAATTTGGGTAATATCTATTCTAGGAAAATCACTTTCTTTCGACTCTTATTGACATTTTTTTTTTTCTATTAAAAATAAATCACACAGGGAGCCGGAACAAATGAAAAAGTACTGACGGAAATTATCGCTTCAAGGACCCCCAAAGAACTGACGGCCATCAAGCAGGTCTATGAAGAAGGTGCGTGTTTCCTGTTCTATTTCGTGCCATCGCCCCTGTCACGTTTCCACGTCTCTCGAGTCGACGCGTGTCTGTAGTTACAGGAGGCGGGCTGTCTGCGAGGGCCAGGTGCACGAATGAGTGAATGAGCAAATAATGCAGGAATTCAAGCTAGTCTTCTCCTTCGTAAGGAAGAGGCCATCTTTTCCTGTGCACACCGCTATGTCAGTATTTGTGAGAAGCTTCTGATGAAGATGGAGTTTACTTTTAAGTAGGATTTGTGACCGGCGTAGGGCTCTACAGATGGTCTTACATTAACCGTAAGACCTTAAGTGGTTTCTTCCTTCCTTATAAAATTCAGTTAGCGAAATTATCAAAGAGAAAAATGAACTTTGTCCAAATGAGAACTGATAAAAAAAGTTCGAGTAAATGTATGTCATTTTTGCAAATGGCAGGGCTCGAATGCTCTGCATTTTGATTTTTCTTTTTGGTGTGCCGTACTCTTTTTGTGTGAAAAAAAAAATGTATTTTAATCTGAAGCAATGCTCTGCATTTTGATTTTTCTTTTTGGTGTGCCTTACTCTTTTTGTGTGGGGGAAAAAAAAAATGTATTTTAATCTGAAGCATGCAATTTGGGTAATATCTATTCTAGGAAAATCACTTTCTTTTGACTCTTATTGACATTTTTTTTTTCTATTGTGTCTGGAACCCAGAAAATGAAATGAAGAGTAAGGGCAGTAGAGAGAGCTGCTTCCTCGTCAGATTTCCTGTCACAGGCTCTCTTCCTACCTGACCGAGGGGGACCAGGCCCCCAGGGGGTCAACTCAGTCAGCAGGCCTCCCAGCCAGGGACTCGAGCTAGGAAAACTGTCCCTGTCCTGGGGTTAGTTTGTCCGTCTTAGAAACGCACCGGAACCCAGCGCGTAGCAACAGTGTGAAGTTCACAGCCCCTCACTAAGCACCTTTCCCAGAGCCGAGTCTCTCTCTCCTGCTTCCCTTTCTTCGGTTGGACCGTCGTACGGGCATCTCAACGGCGGATGCTCGCTTTTGAGTTCTATTTCGTGTAATATCTGTCTACCTCTGGGGCTGCTGACGTTGAAGAGCGAGCCTGCAGCTGCTGGATGACACACACAGTGCCTCGAGGGTCTAAAAACTGCACGTGGCCTCCTCGGCCGTGTTACTGTGCCCTGGCTGTGTGTCCGGCAGCGTGCTGGCCGGTCACGAATGAGGCAGAGATGCGCGTAACACAGCTCCCGTCCTCAAGGAGTTTGCCATCTACGCGGGGTCTGATGTGACTTAAAACTGTGGTTGTTAAAGGGTAGTAAAATTCAGATTAGAGTCAAACGCCAAAATATTTAATGGAGGAAGTCATTTGGAGAAGAGAGGTCATCGCGGCTTTGGCCATTAGGGGAGGCTTCGTGGTGCAGTCACGTGCTGAGCCGGGTTTCAAGACTACTTGGGTGCGGATAGGCGCCGAAGGCAGTTCTGGTCACCCGCTGTCTGCAGCGCCGTGAGGCAGAGCCACCGTCACTGTGGGGACAGATCGAATAAGCACCGTGAGGCTGTGCAGGTGGCTTCGCTGAATCACGAGGCTGATCAGGCCGCTGCGTGTGGTGGGGGTGGGGAAGGTAAGCCAGGCGGCTACGGCCCAAGCTGGGGGGTGGAGGCGGGAGAGGAGGAGATCAGAGAGGGGACACACGCTTGAAAGGGTTCCATGGTGCATTATGGATGGCGTCGGAGCAGAAGAAGGAGTCAAGACTTCCTTTGAGGTTTTGTGTTCGGGTAACTGAAATAAATACAGAACCCTTTGGACTTTTTAAAGCAGAAGTTTCAGGCTTTTAAAGTCCGTTTGTTTTCAGATAATGATGAAATATTTAAGGGCCTTAAAGTAGTGCCCCCGTCCTGCTGTAGCAGCTGAGAGTGAGTGAGCCGGGCCGGGCCGGGCCGGGCCGTGGGCTCTGCCCTCGGTTCTCCCCTTCCTCTCCGGCCTCGGGTGAAATAGGGACGCAAGGGGCACGTTTGAAAGCGTCACCTCTGCCTCTCAGAGGTACCTTTGCTGCAGAGGAAAACTTATCAGGGAGACGAGAGAGAAAACGGACTCTTAGAGGATGGGAGGCTTTCGGAGACTCATCACGGAAACCGGTTGAAAGAAAGCAAGACGAAGTTTTAATTATGGTCGAGTGTGTTTTAGAGGCTTCGTAGCGCCGTCACATGTCTGCGGATTAAAAACTACTCTGGTCGAGAGTGTTTCAGGTGGCTGAGTCATGATTTCGGCTGGACTCAAGTGCTTTCGGGAGACTAATTCGTTTTCGTGTAGCCACTCGGAGCATTCGGCTTTACGGTCTTCGGAGCTCTCAGAGTCGGAGCAGAGGACGTGTAGGCCGACGAGCCGTTTCTTCCCGTCTGTCTCTTCCGTTCGACCAGTGGGGCATCTTTTTCTGGTTGAAGGAAGCTGTACATAAGCATGACGTCATTCCGTTGCAGAGTACGGCTCGAGCCTGGAGGATGACGTCGTGGGAGACACCTCCGGCTACTACCAGAGGCTGCTGGTGGTCCTCCTGCAGGTACGGGCGGGGGCTGTTTACAGACCGACCGAAGCATGCGAAGCTGGACGGGTCTGAGTCTAGGTCAGTCAGGGCACTTGAAATTCCTTTCATCCTTTCTGGTACTTGCGTGATTATGGCCGTATGGTACGTGCGTGTGTGCGCGCGCATGTGTGCGTGTGCGTTTCAGAAGCTGTGATCGGAACTCTCCATAGCTAACTCAGTTCTTTTTTGGATACCGCTGTCCTCTTGTATTCACAGAATTTAAAGTCAGGAGGGTCAGGTTGGTTTTGGACAGTGCTGTGTGATAATGTGAAATACTGTAGGTCCGATGTCACCTTAATGAAAACACGTTAGTCCCAAGAGAAAAGGCTTTATGCGCCTGACCGTCAGGAGGGACCATTTTCCCTTTTGCATGGAGCCGCCCCTGTGATTCAGTGACGTGACGTGTCATCTCCCGCAGGCCAACAGAGACCCCGACGGTGCAATTGATGAAGCGCAGGTTGAGCAAGATGCTCAGGTGAGTGAGACCTAATTGGGGACGGCCGTACTGTGACACGTGCGTCAGAGAAGAGCCCGTGCTCGTGAAAGATCACGACGGGGCTTATGGTAGCATCTAATGTCATCTTGTTTATGGGTCGCATCGAAGACCCACGCAGGCAGATTTCTCTCGTTTTGATGTGGGCAACAAAATATTTCATCTAAAAGCTGAAATGAAATAAAATGATATAAATAGTGAGTCCCACTTAGATATGTTATTATTATTATTTTTTTGTGATTATGGAACATTCACAAAAGAGATTATTTTTCAAGAAAACAGGTGTTACTGATTCTACCGCCAAGGAGGCGGGAAGCTGCCGGGCAGGAGAGGATGAAGCATTAAGCATTTTAGGGACAAACGGTGTTCCATTCTATGATGGACGGCAGAGTTTTGTAGTATTTGGAAATTCCTTTCCCTGTCCCTTGATAGAATCCTAAATAGGATCGTTCTTCCGTTAGCCGAGTTCTAGTGACTTCCAAACGAAGCTCTGCGCTTCAGTGGCGTTTAAATCCCCCCGCTGTCCCAGTGTGGTTTGTAGTGTCACCGCACGGGGAGGGGAGGGTTAGGGAATTGGGAAGACGAGCCTTGAGAACTGGAAGTCGGTAGTGAAGGAAATTCCTTGGGATCCTAGGGTCACATACGGCGTAGTGTTGCTCTGGTCCCACGTTTCTGTTACTGGAACGTACAGTCTGAGTGTCGGCCGTGCACCCCCACCCCACCCCCCGCAGGAGAAGGTCTGAGCCCCGACTGTGCTTAACGAGCCTCCGATTTCTGTCCCTCTGTCCCCTCCGATTTCTGTCCCTCTGTCCCCTCCGCGTCCAGCCTCTCGCCCTGGCCCTCCTCCAGCCCCCTCCTGCCGTTCACCCTGCAGCGTCTCCCGCTGGGGTCAGCCCTCAGGTTAGCTGCTTTTGGAGCCCTGCCTGGCTCCCCAAGTGCGTGTCAAGTGCCCTTCCAGGGAAGAGTAGCCTCACGCGTGTCCGGTCACTGTCCTCGCCACCTGCTCTTGAAGCTGCCTATTTACTCGACCGCCTGGCCAGGGCACTCCACGCCATCGGTCCTTGGATCCTCAGCTCCAGCATACAGCGGGCACTCAGTAAATGACCGATGAGTGACTCTGAAGTAGAGGGGACAAGTTCCCCGTCACAGATGAAGAAGCTGAGGCTCAGGGATTTGACAGACAAGCCCACGGCCCCAGGAGTAGCCGGGGGCCCACCCTCGTTCTGGGGGACAGTCTCTGTGTCCTTGTCTGTGGGCCCCTCTCGTAGGAGGGCGCATTAAACACAGATGGGAAGGGCGGGTCTAGCTTAACCCCGTTCCTTGGGAGGACCCCTTCTGGGATAGGGTAACCTCAGTGTCTTTGCGGGCAGACCTGAAACCCCCTAACTAATTTTCCTGCCTAACTCCTTTCTAAGAGCCACGAATCTCCTTATTAGTATGGATGTTGAGGGTCGGGAGGTCTC